GGTGAGGAGGCAAGAGTGGGGATAAATGGGGTTCACTTTTCCAGTTTTCCCATTTCCATTTAAGTGGGTGTAACCATAGGGGGCGATTTTCGTCTTGTCGAGTCGGAGCTTTCAGTTTGGGTACATTTTTGTTTTTTCTCCCTTTCTTTCTTCCCCTTCTTCCTTTTTGTTTTCTTTGCAAGAAATGAGAGTTTGATTTGCTTTTTGTTTTGTTTTCTTTAATCCTTCTTCCTGCACTCTCCCCAAGTTTCTTTAAAACAAATCAACAGCAAGAAAACTGGAGCAGTACCTTCCTTAGAATGAATGACGCCAGTGTGCTGTGGCTTTTTCCCTGACTCTCTCCTCTTTGTGATTTGTTTAAGGCTGCGGTTTCTGAGGCCCTCTCCAGCCACGGAAAAGCTGCACAAAAAAGCCTGGATCTCTCTCGCTCAACCACCCCCGCTGCCAGTGAAGGCTCTCTCCGCCTCGCCCTCTAGCGTTCATCTGGAGAAGTACCGCCCCGGGCTCCTGGGGACAGCGCGCATCATGGGGTCCACCAACATCCCTCTGGTCAAGGCCCTCCGCAGCTCTGTCTCCGACTATGTCAACTACGACATCATCGTCCGGCATTATAACTACACGGGAAAGCTGAATATCGGCGCGGACAAGGAAAACGGCATTAAACTGATCTCAGTGGTGTTCATTCTCATCTGCTGCTTTATCATCCTGGAGAACATCTTTGTTTTGCTGACCATTTGGAAAACCAAGAAGTTCCACCGACCCATGTACTATTTTATTGGCAACCTCGCCCTCTCAGACCTGTTGGCAGGAGTGGCCTACACAGCCAACCTGCTTTTGTCTGGGGCCACCACCTACAAGCTAACCCCCGCCCAGTGGTTTCTGCGGGAAGGGAGTATGTTTGTGGCCCTGTCTGCCTCCGTGTTCAGCCTCCTAGCCATCGCCATTGAGCGCTATATCACCATGCTGAAGATGAAACTCCACAATGGGAGCAACAGGTTCCGCTCCTTCCTGCTCATCAGTGCCTGCTGGGTTATCTCCCTCATCCTGGGGGGCCTGCCCATCATGGGCTGGAACTGCATCAGCACGCTGCCCAGCTGCTCCACAGTGCTGCCGCTCTACCACAAGCACTATATCCTCTTCTGCACCACGGTCTTCACTCTGCTCCTTCTCTCCATCGTCATCCTGTACTGCAGGATCTACTCCTTGGTCAGGACTCGGAGCCGCCGTCTGACTTTCCGCAAGAACATTTCGAAGGCCAGCCGCAGCTCTGAGAAGTCGCTGGCGCTGCTCAAGACCGTGATTATTGTCCTGGGCGTCTTCATCGCCTGCTGGGCGCCACTCTTCATCCTGCTTCTGCTGGACGTGGGCTGCAAGGTGAAGACCTGCGACATCCTCTTCAGAACGGAGTACTTCCTGGTGTTGGCTGTGCTCAACTCTGGCACCAACCCCATCATTTACACTTTGTCCAACAAGGAGATGCGTCGGGCCTTCGTCCAGATCATGTCCTGCTGCAAGTGCCCCAGCGGAGACTCTACCGGCAAATTCACGCGACCCATCATCGCAGGCATGGAATTCAGCCGCAGTAAGTCAGACAACTCCTCCCACCCTCAGAAGGATGATGGGGATAACCCAGAGACCATTATGTCTTCTGGAAACGTCAACTCTTCTTCCTAAAAGTGAAAACTGCTGACCCATGGGGAGCTTGCATGGTTGCCCACCACCCCAGCGTTTGGGAAAAAAAACAGCAACTCTGTGCCTCCGCTGCTGCCAGGCAGGAGCTGTCTCAAGCCAGAGGGAGGGAGGGGGAGCTTAAGAACAGCCTGGTGGTGCCTGGTGTTGGTGGGTAGACTTAGTTCCTGTGAACAATGCACTGGGAAGGGTGGAGATCAGGTCCTCGCCTAGAATCTATTTCCTCCCCTCGCTGGAGCTTTGATTTTGCACTGAGCCAAAGGTCTAGCATTGTCAAGCTCCTGAAGCATTCATCTGGCCCCTCCTCAAAGACTAATGTCCCCGTGTGAAAGCATCTCTGTCGGGAGCTTTGAGGAGATGTTTTCTTTCACTTTAGTTTCCAGCCCAAGTGAGTGTGTGCACTTCTGCTTCGCTAGGTATGCTCTGCATATCCTACCCTCCCTTCCCCTTCACACCCCTCCTCAGAATTCCTTTACTTTATATTTTAACTACCTGGCATTCAGAGTTGGGAGTGTGGCATGGTCCATTTCTTGATGATGTGTAGCAGGTAGGCTGTGTCCAGCAGGTAGACTGTGGTGGAGATGGTTTGGAGATGTAAAGCAATTTCACTTGCTGAAGCCAAAGTTTCCACAGAAGCTGGATGAGTGTTTTTGATTTTAGTTGCAGTCACTTTAAAAAAAAAATCTTTGCAATGAAATGTATTACAGTATCATATCCATCATGGCTGAAATCTGCATAAGGAAGTTCAATGTATTTAAATGACATCAGTCAGGATCCTTAGTGTCATAGGAGAAACAAACAAGCAAAACAAGGTGAAAACTGACTGGGGGGGTGACTTTGTAAACCAAGAAAGATTTCTTAACGAATTTGTCTAACAAATACAGCATCTGTCTTTGGCACTTTTGTTGATGTTTCTTTCAGAGTGTTGTGTGAATCATTTCAACCAACAGGATGGCTGTATTTTGTTGTGTTAAAAGTACTTTTTAAATAATTTTTGAATGTATTTGTTTCAACATTTTATTGGATTTTCCTAACCTGTGTTAACACCATTGAATGGGTATTTCTTCAGAAAATACCATCCTCTTGTGCCCTTAAAGCATTACTTTAACTGATAGGGAACATAAGAAGTTTTTCAGTACATTAAATAGTTAATTGAAGATGTGTATAAATGTCACAAAGAATAAAAATATATTGGTGTCTGTTTAGTGTGGTTTCCAGTGCAATTAAACTGAGAAATGTCTTTTTTTAAAAAAAATAGTATTTAATAGGTTTCTGACAATGTGGATCATTTTGCACATAGCTTTATCAACTTTTAAACATTAATAAACTGATTTTTTTAAAGATTCCTTTGTGAAGAGCATTTTTTAAAAAATAATTATTAAGACATTCTATTTGACTATGTGCCTCTTCAGAATCAGTTAAAGGCAAATTTCTGTTATTCTTTAGAGGATTTTACCCTGATAAACTAGGGTGTGAAAAAAGAATGTGGTTTGTTTAGAAACCACTCTTTTTTTTTTTTCAGGAAGAGAAACTTCAATAAGTTAACATTGAAGAGTAGTAAAGAATGAGATGAAAACCACCAGCTTCTAAATACCACATTGACAAGTAAATGTAATTGTTTGAGTTTTAAATGACATTCAAGCCACACTAAATTAAGTACAATAATTCTGTCTTAAAACATGAGTTTTAAAAGAAATAGTGTACAACAATGTGGTTGTAAATCAAAGTTAAATTATGACACTCAATGGTCAGTTCACACCCATCCCTAGAAGCTTACATTCTTGGCTTGCCATCAACAGACTGGGGAAGTGGGGATATGGCTATGGGAGATTATATTAAATTACTTAATTCTTTCAGGACATTGTCTTGGCTTCTCCCAGTCTACCCGCTGAACAATATAAAACTATACATTAGCAATAGAGTTACAAGTTGTAGAATGTTGGCTGAATAGCATACATCTTTTATCTGAAAATTTTTAATTCGTAGTATCTGAAAGCTTTAACATCCCTTGTCAATTTCTCCAACTATAAAATGGCAAGCCTCACAAATCTTTTAATTCTTGTTTTGATACTATCATCTTCATGGGGGATTACATCGAAGTACTTTGGTGTGTTTGCCTCTTCAGTGCTATTGTTAACTTTCAGAATTTGTGCTTTCAAGTGTCATTGAATATGCACAGGACACAGTTGGGACACGAAGATAAACCTCACCTAATAGAGTAGATGTCATTTCTGGGTAAAGTTAACTGTGGGAAACAGAAGCATGTTCACTAAGGAAACCTTAGGTCACAACCTCCAGTTTCCTGAAGGAAATGCCAAAAATGCTCCAAAGACAAAAGACTGGAAACAAACTGGAATGTCTCTATCCATCTGTCTGCTGAGGCGGAAGGAATGAATTCATGTTACACTCACTTCCTAGACCTTTCGTTACAGAATCAAGCATAATGGAAAAGCGTGTCTATTTTGTGTTTCTATGGAAGATAAAGTGGTTGTACTCTTGGACTTATCTTTATAAGCACAGCAGTGACTCACATGATGTGGGGAAGAATGAGGTGGGACAGTTGACCTTGGTGGGGACTGGGGAGCTCATCAGTGACAAGGGAGCACAGCCTTGCTTGCCTACCTGTGAGCACGTTATCCAATAATTAAATGTGTTTTCTTCCTGGAAATTTCAGACAGTGCATTTCATTCCAAGACAGCTGGACAGTCATGGACTGTGGTTTCCCTGGGTAGATGTGGGTCAGAGCCCTAGTTCTGGCCAAGAGCAATGGCTAAGATGAAGGAATCCTTGGCAGTATCCCAACATGAATATCTGGTTTTAATTCAGTATATTTTGAGAATTGAGGATGAAAAAAAGCCCTCAGTACCTATATGTTTATACTAAAATAAACTCCCTAAAGTTTTAATTAAAAAAGATGTAGAACGCCACGGAGCAACTAAACCCGTGCACCACAACTACTGAGCCTGCGCTCTAGAGCCCGCGGGCCACAACTACTGAAGCCCTCGTGCCTAGAGCCTGTGCTCTGCAACGAGAGAAGCCACTGCAATGAGAAGCCCCTTCGCAGCAATGAAGACCCAATGCAGCCATAAATAAATTAATTAATTAATTTAAAAAAATAAAAAAACATGTAGAGATTTTTTTAAGAGGACGAAAACAGACAACCAGAGCAATACTTTATGGCTTATAAATATTCAGGAAAATTACAAAATGACACCAAATAATACTTTCTTCCCAACAACATTAAATGTGATTATCAACAATAAATGCTGGAGAGGGTGTGGAGAAAAGGGAACACTCTTGCACTGCTGGAGGGAATGTGAATTGGTTCAGCCACTATGGAGAACAGTATGGAGGTTCCTTAAAAAACTACAAACAGAACTACCATATGACCCAGCAATCCCACTACTAGGTATATACCCTGAGGAAACCAGAATTCAGAAAGAGTCATGTACCAAAATGTTCATTGCAGCTCTATTTACAATAGCCCGGAGATGGAAACAACCTAAGTGCCCATCGTCGGATGAATGGATAAAGAAGATGTGGCACATATATACAATGGAATATTACTCAGCCATAAAAAGAAACGAAATTGAGCTATTTGTAATGAGGTGGATAGATCTAGAGTCTGTCATACAGAGTGAAGTAAGTCAGAAAGAGAAAGACAAATACCGTATGCTAACACATATATATGGAATTTAAGAAAAAAAAAATGTTATGAAGAACCTAGGGGTAAAACAGGAATAAAGACACAGACCTACTGGAGAACAGACTTGAGGATATGGGGAGGGGGAAGGGTGAGGTGTGTTAGGGCGAGAGAGAGACATGGACATATATATACTAACAAACGTAAGGTAGATAGCCAGTGGGAAGCAGCCGCATGGCACAGGGAAACCGGCTCGGTTCTTTGTGGCTGTCTGGAGGGGTGGGATGGGGAGGGTGGGAGGGAGGGAGACAAAGAGGGGGGAGATATGGGAGCATGTGTGTATGTATGACTGATTCACTCTGTTGTAGAGTGGAAACTAGCACACCATTGTAGAGCAATTGTACCCCAATGAAGATGTTAAAAAAAATTTAAAAAAAATAAAAATAAATAAAATATTGCTGGTAAAAAAAAAAAATGTGATTATCATTTTACAGAGTATTCAAATAAAAATCTTACATAAGACAACGCTTGTTCTTCCTTTTTAGTCTCTTAATAAGTAGAAAAAATTAATTCTTTAAAAAAGTTGATTTAGTGATATTATAAATTCAAAAATGTACAGGAATAGGAGTTTTGCATTCATGCTAATTAGATACTTTATTTTATTTTAGTAATATCAGTATTATCAGCACTACAGTTGTGATTTATGGCATCTTCAATTTTTTCCCAATGTAAAAAGACACAAAGATTTTAATGGTTCTTATTTTCAAATTGGATTAATTTCTCCTCTGGACATGACCTATGTTAAATATATGTCCGGTCCAATACTCTTTATAGTACTTTTAACCTAGACTATAGTTTTTGCATGATTTTGACCATTCATGCCTCCATTCAATATATCAATATATCACATGTCAGGTTTTCTAGGCAACTACAAATGAACTATTTCTGGGAGCTATTACTCTGAAATAGCACCTTCAGAGAGATGATGGACCATGTTGGGGAAATCCTACAAAGTGAGGACTTGAAGTTCAAGTAATTCTGAATATTAAAAATCCCTTTTTCAACTGAGAAACAAGGGATAATACTTGAGTGACACATTAAAAAAAAATTATAGGGCTTCCCTGGTGGCGCAGTGGTTGAGAGTCCGCCTGCCGATGCAGG